CGAGGTCGCTGGTGACTCTGGTGCTGCTGAGGGTGCTGAGCCTGGGAGTGCTGACTCTGGGGGTACTGAGCGTGTGGGTGCTACGCCTGGGGGTGCTGAGCCTGAGGGTACTACGACTGGGGGTGCTGAGCCTGGGGGTGCTGAGTCTGGGGGTGCTACGCCTGGGGGTGCTGAGCCTGGGGGTGCTACGCCTGGAGGTGCTGAGCCTGGGGGTGCGGAGCCTGAGGGAGCTGGGCCTGCTGGTGCTGTGCCTGGCGGTTCTCCGGGTGCTTCTTCTCGCCGGGAGCCACTCTCTCCACAGGAGCTGCGTGAGTGGTTTGCCCGGCGCTGGAGGCGAGCTGCTGGAGCTGGAGGAGCTGCGGGTACTGGAGTTTCTGTTGCTGCTGAGGGCGCTGGTGCCACGGGTCCCGGAGGTGCTCGTACTGGGCGTACTGGAGCAGCTGGACCTGCGGGTACTTCTGGAGCTGGAGCTGCTGCGGGTGTTGGCGCTGAGGCTACTGCTGTCGGTCCTGGAGGCGGTCCTACTGGGGGTGCTACTGGTGCTGCTGGAGGTACTGGAGCTGGAGGTGCTGCTGGCGCTGGTGCTACCGCTGGGGGTACTGGTGCTGTCCCTGCTGTGTCTGGAGTCGCCGCGCGGCCTCGGCCGTACTTCGTTCCGCTCCTTCAGCAGGTTCTTGGTCTCCCGCCTTCTACTGGTCCTCCTCCTCCCTTAGAGTGTCCACAGCCTGTCCCGTCGCAGTTACAGTTACAGCCGGCCTCCCCACTGCCTGCTCCGTCTCCCTACACTGGTCCTACTGGAGGTCTTGCTGAGCGTCGTGAGCCTGCGTCTCGCCCTGCGTCGCCTGTCCGTGCTGCTCGCACTAGTGGTCGCGGTTCGCGTCAGCGTCCTCATCCTGTCCCTGGCACGCACCGGATGTCTCTGCGTCCGTCCACTGCTCCTCTGCGTGCCCCTTTGCCTTCTCCTCCTGAGTCTTCTCTTCCTGCTCTTGCCGACCCGGAGTCGGACTCTCTTCGTGCTGCCAGTCCTACTGTCACGCGTCTCCTTGCTACTGTTGTCACTGACCCGTCCTTTGAGTCCACTGCTGCGTCTGCCCTAGTTGCTGAGCTCGTCGACTTTGCTGCTCGCTGTCGCCTAGACTACGTCGCCAGTCTTGTTGCTGAGTCTGAGTCTGTCTGTCCTTCGTCCGTCGGGAGTGAGTGTGCCCTTGGCACGGACGTCCTTGAGGACAGGCAGGAGGAGTTCCAGTGCTTGGTCGCTGCTTCACCTCATCTCGTGTCCGTACTGCTTACCCATGAGGGAGACCCGGATGCACTTGACATCCCGACTCCGCGCTCTTACGCGGAGGCGATAGAGGGTCCCTACTCCTCTCAGTGGCAGGCAGCTATGGACGCAGAGATGGCTTCCTGGAAGTCCACATGCACCTACGTTGACGGTGTTCCCCCTCCTGGGGCGAACATCGTCAGTGGCATGTGGATTTTCAGGGTGAAGCGACCGCCGGGTTCTCCGCCTGTCTTCAAGGCGCGTTACGTGGCTCGTGGCTTCAGTCAGCGGCAGGGAGTTGACTACTTCCAGACCTTCTCTCCCACCCCGAAGATGACCACTCTTCGGGTACTGCTGCACGTAGCTGCTCACCGTGACTACGAGTTACACTCTCTTGACTTCAGCACTGCTTTCTTGCAGGGCAGCCTGCGCGAGGAGATCTGGCTGCGTCGCCCTCCTGGTTTCACTGGGTCTTTTCCTCCTGGCACCCAGTGGAGCCTACGGCGGCCAGTCTACGGTCTCCGCCAGGCACCGCGTGAGTGGCACGACACACTGAAGACTACACTTGCGGCTCTTGGGTTTGCTCCCTCTACTGCTGACCCGTCGCTGTTTCTGCGCACCGACACTTCTTTGCCGCCGTTCTACATCCTCGTGTACGTCGACGACTTGGTCTTTGCCACAGCTGACACTGCTGGACTTGCCCACGTGAAGTCCGAGCTGCAGAAGAGACACACGTGCACTGACCTGGGTGAACTGCGCAGCTACCTTGGCCTGCAGATCACTCGGGACAGAGCACGCCGCACCATTACCCTGACTCAGTCACACATGGTGCAGCAGGTCCTTCAGCGCTTCGGCTTCACGTACTCCTCGCCTCAGGCCACTCCTCTGCCTACTCGCCACTCGCTCTCAGCTCTGCCTTCGGATGAGTCCGTAGAGTCGAGTGGCCCGTACCCAGAGCTTGTTGGCTGCCTCATGTACCTGATGACCTGCACTCGACCTGACCTTGCATACCCTCTTAGCATTCTCGCACGCTATGTTGCTCCTGGGAGACACAGACCGGAGCACATGGCTGCAGCGAAGAGGGTGTTGCGCTACTTGTGCAGTACGTCGGGCATGGGGCTTGTGCTTGGAGGGCAGAGTCCAGTGGTCCTTACTGGGCACGCAGACGCTTCTTGGGCTGACGACCAGGCTACGCAGCGGTCGTCACAGGGTTACACCTTCAGCCTTGGTTCCGGCTCTGTTTCGTGGCGGGCTACTCGCTCGTCTTCTGTTCTCGGCTCCAGTTGTGAGGCTGAGATCTACGCAGGAGCCATGGCTGCACAGGAGCTTCGCTGGCTCACCTACCTGCTGACTGACCTCGGAGAGCCGCCTCGTTCTCCTCCAGTGCTGTACGTAGACAACAAGGCCATGCTGGCCTTGTGTCGGGAGCAGCGACTGGAGCACAGAACGAAGCACATTGCTCTCCGCTACTTTCTTGCTCGTGAGCTGCAGCAGCGTGGTCAGCTGCGTCTTGCGTACGTGGCCTCTGAGGCCAACACTGCTGATATCTTCACCAAGGCGCTTGCGCCTTGTGACCATCAGCGCTTCTGTACTCAGCTGGGCCTTGTGCCTACCTTGCCTCACTTGCTCACCTCTTGACCTTGCTTGTACTGTTACATATATATATACCTGCTCTTTCTTGTCTAGTCTTTTTATATATATGTACTCCTGCATGTGAACTGGCCTTGTGGCCTTGAACTTGTGCTCGGAATGTGTGGTGACTTTGTGATCCACCCTGAGCTTGCTTTGCTTTGCTTTGCTTGACTGGTCTTGTGACCCCTTGTTCTCCCCCACTTTGCCTATGGGGGTGTGTCAGAACATTATAGCTCATGCATATTGTGTAGGCTATAGTGGGGTAGCCCATAAGGGGTACAACCCAATTAGGGTTAGTACTTGTACCCAATTCATTCATAGCTCATTCATTCCTTGTTTCTTATCAAAAAAATAAAACCCAATCGAGAAGGGATGCGACTCGGGAGGCATCAACCCTAAAAACAATGCCCTTTACCGTGTTTAGGGTTGATCCCTCCCGCAAATGCGTCCAGATTCTATAGGGGTTTAATTTTTCTGCCCAGTCGTAAATTTACGTATTTTAGTTTAACAATTCCAAGTCGGGAGGGTAAACTAGATAGTTCTCTTTTTGTCACCTCCCAAACATTTCGACCAGCGTAAACAGTGTTACTAAAAAGCGACGACCAATCAACGTCGAGAAAGTCCAGGTTGATTACACCTGAGAACCCGCTCGGGACTAATCTGAGTATGTATGAAGTTGGCCGCACAATCATGCAAGTCCCATTCTTTGTCGATTGTTTGGTTGATGATGGATCACGCCGCACAGTCATAGGGCATTTCTGCCAGCCGAGCTATGCGACGGATTGGCTCGTGACCTACGCAGCCAATGACAAATCGCATGTACACGGTTTAGGGTGAGGAGATACACGTGACAGCTGTCACGCCAGGAGCCGAACACCTTGAAGGTGGAGTGGGTGTCGCTAGTGCCTTGTCGTTTAACCCGCCGCAAATAACTCTCGTTCGAAGCAGACAGTGCGGAAAGGCGCGCCACGTTCGCGCCTTCCCCTTGTCAGGGTGACGAATCGCAAACTCTCAAACTCGCAAACTCGGATAGGTGGTTTGTGGATCAAAGCACAGTCGTGGGATAATCGACGCAGCCAATGGCATCGCCTGTTGTAACGCATGTGGGCTGTGTTAAGGGCACTCCGCTGCGCCAAATAACACCCTCGTTTTGACCCTGTGGGTAGCGAGGTGTTACATTTGGAATCAGAGCCTAGGGTTCGAATCCCGGCTGGACCACACTTTCCGCCTTTGGCGAGAACTGAAGTGCGGTTGTAACCAGCTCGAACCCAGCGAACGATCCTCCGCTGGCCTGAGCAACCAGCGAAGTCGCAGCCAGCAGCACTGCGAAATCTAGGTCCCAGCGGCAGGGGGCCGACTTCATGAAGTCCAGGGCCAACGGGGACGTTGGCACCAGGGGGGGACGAGTGTAACGCCTGTGGGCTGTGTTAAGGGCACTCCGCTGCGCCAAATAACACCCTCGTTTTGACCCAGTGGGTAGCGAGGTGTTACACCTGTTATCCGCGGAAATATTATCACGGCTGGTACTACTCGACACCTTGAACGGGTGGTGCGTGTGTCGCCAGTGCCTTTTCGTGCGCTGCACGGCGCGCATTCGAAGCAGGCTTGATCTTGACTTCGCTTGCAACTCGTGTGGTCCTCGTGAACTTCACGAATACATCACGTTTTGCTTTGGATCCATTCGAGATTTCGTGAACTTCACGAGAACGTCACGTTCGAGAATTTCGTGAACTTCACGAAACGTGGGATTCTCTTTAGATTGTGTGCTTGATGGACAAGCACGGTCATTGGGCCGAGCTAGAACCGTCGTGGGATATTCCACGCAGCCAATAGCACGATGATCGCATAACTGGATATCCGCAGAAAATATCACAGCTGGTACCCGAGTCCCGACACCTTGAACGGGTGGGTGCGTCGTCAGTGCCCTTTTTCGTCTACAACTGCTGCTCCGAGTCGGCGCGGCGATTGTCGAAAGAAGGCTTCTTTCGGGGCAGGCGGTGCGGAAGACGTGCCACCGATTCGCGCATTCCTCTTGTCCGTTAGTCAGGTTGGCTCTTGACTTTGCTGGCAACTCGCATGGTTTCTACCAACTGACTTTTGTCTTTCAATGACCCATAGTCCAGCGCGCTTTCAAGACCAGCGCATTCAAGGGGTAAGTTCCCCCCTCTCCCCCTCCTTCGCGGCTCTATCGCGGGAGGGGGGCGAGGGTGCGGGCGGGGGGGAGTGGAAGGGATCCCCTCAGCTCGAGCAGAGGGGAGTGAAGGGAGGGGGATGGGTCCTTTAGATCGTACATAAGCCGCTCGCTTCAAGCGAGAAGTTCTCATTCCAACATATCGCCTCTCCTCCTCCATTCCTCTCGTGACACCCCACGACTGAGCCCTCGGAGGCTCATCGGCTCTCATCTGGCAGCAGTGCTACCGCTGCTTCCAGCCCTTCTCGCCCTTCTCGCCCCACCTGTTGGCTGCGGGAATCATCAGCGCCATCATGGCTTCGCACGCCGTGCTTGTCACGCGGAGCCTCCTGCTCGCTGCACTGGCTGCTCTCATGCTCTCAGGTATGCTCTCATGCTCTTGGATCTGCTCTCAGGTTTTTCCCCCCTTCCCACGTTCCCTCTTTGCACCACCAGTGCCCAGTTTTACCGTTCGCCTGCCTCAGTCGATGCCATCCATCTTCTCCGCTCCCCTCACCCCATTCTCGTCCCGTTCTCCCCCTTCCCCCCCCCTTTTCCCCAATTCCTCCTTCCCCCACTCCTCTCCCCCATCCGCGCTCAGCCTGTGCGCCCAGGGCAGCAGCCGTTCGCCTGCCACCTCAAAGCAACGCCGCCGACTGTAAGTCAGCCTCAAACGCACCCGTGCGCGTTTGCTTGTCCCCAATCTCTTAAAGGGCATGACGGACGTTCACCCTTTTTGGCACGCTCACCACTCACCGCTCCTACCGCCGCTCTTTTTATTCACCCTGCCCATCCGTACTCCATTCACTTAAGCCTTACTCCAGCCTTGTCTCTTAGGTTGTCAGGCGGATCACTTCCACCGTTCTGTACTCTCCACGTGTGCACGCTTACCTCCCTGTTTGTCTCCTCGTTTTTCCTCTATCCCTTCCGTTCCTCTCCGCTCATCTCCGTTTCTTCCCTCCTGGATCCTCTCTTTCTCACTGGTCACTTTGGAATTAAATACCGACGGATTCGTGTGCGCAGATTCGTGTGTGCAGCGGAACTGCGGCGCCAACGGCCAGTGCGTCAAGAGCAGTTCTGGAGTGGCGTCCTGTGTGTGCGACACTGGCTTTGCGCTGCAGGCGGATGGCAGGACGTGCACTGGTACGTGCTGAACCTGTGATGTTGTGTGAGGAGCTTCTATGTGCTACTGTGCTGAATCCACGATGGCCAGTGGACGTAATCCGAGATATTCTTTCTCCTTCGATCCGGTCCGTCCCCTTGTGTCAGATGTGTGCATCATCAAAAACTGCCAGGGCTCTGATGCCAATTCCACTTGTGTGAAGAATGGCAACCTTGCGACCTGCGTGTGCAAGCCTGGATTCGCCTTGGCGGCGGGCAAATGCACTGGTGCGTTCGCCGGTTGCCTTGTGCCCTTGTAGCCCGCACTTAATTGTGTGTGTGTGTGACTGTAGGTGTGTGTGTGTGTGTGTGTGTGTGTGTGTGTGTGTGACAGTAGGTGTGTGTGTGTGTGTGTGTGTGTGACTGTAGGTGTATGTGTGTGTGACTGTAGGTGTATGTGTGTGACTGTAGGTGTGTGTGTGTGTGTAACTGTAGGTGTATGTGTGTGTGATTGTAGGTGTGTGTGTGTGTGTGTGTGTGTGTGTGTGTGTGTGTGTGTGTGTGTGTGTGTGTGTGTCACGTGTGTGACTGTGAGTGCTCTCTCAAGCTACGTCTTCTTGAAATCTCTCCACCGTTACTCTCCTCTCACCCCCCCACCCCTCCCCACTCAGACACCTGCGAGATTCAGAACTGTGGCGTCAACGGCAAGTGCGTCAAGGACAGCGCTGGAGCGGCGTCCTGTGTGTGCGACACTGGCTTTGCGCTGCAGTTGGATGGCAGGACGTGCACTGGTACGTGCTGAACCTGTTCTGCTGTGTTGAGGACCTTCTATGTGCTGCCCTGCTGAATCCATGGCCAGTGGACCTATTCTGAGTTCTCCTTTCTCCTTCAATCTGGTCCGTCCCCTTGTGTCAGATGTGTGCATCATCAAGAACTGCCCGGGCTTGGATGCCAATTCCACTTGTGTGAAGAATGGGAACCTTGCGACCTGCGTGTGCAAGACGGAATTCGCCTTGGCAAACGGCAAATGCACTGGTGCGTTCGCCGGTTGCACTGTGCCCTTGTAGCCCGCACTTCATTCTGTGAATGTGTGTGATGGGTATGTGTGACTCTGTGTGTGCGACTCTAGGTGTGTGTGTGTGAGACTGTTATGTGTGTGTGTGTGTGTGTGTGTGTGTCTTTTCATTTCGGCTCTCTCAAGCTCTTGGTGACTTCTCTTCACCATTGCTCTCCTCTCTTCTCACCCCTCCCCCACTCAGACACCTGCGAGATTCAGAACTGTGGCGTCAACGGCAAGTGCGTCAAGGACAGCGATGGAGCGGCGTCCTGTGTGTGCGACACTGGCTTTGCGCTGCAGTCAGATAACAGGACGTGCACTGGTACGTGCTGTGCTGAACCTGTGCTGCTGTGTTGAGGAGCTTCTGTGTGCTGCCCTGCTGAATCCACGGCCAGTCGTTCCACATTCCCGTACTCTCTCTGTTCTCAGACCTATTTTGACATCTCCTTTCTCGCTCAATCCGGTCCGTCCCCTTCTCTCAGATGTGTGCGTCATCAAAAACTGCGAAGGCTCCGATGCCAATTCCTACTGTGACAAGGAAGGGAACGTTGCGACCTGTCTGTGCAACACTGGATACGCCATGGCAAACGGCAAATGCACTGGTGCGTTGTGCCCTCGTAGCGTTGTGCCCTCGTAGCGTTGTGCCCTCGTAGCGCACACTTCATTCTGTGATTCTGCGTGTGCAAGACTGGATATGCCTTGGTAGCGGGCACATGATGCTCCATGTGATTCTGTGTGCTGCTATTCTGTGTGCTGCTACTCTGTATGCTGCTACTCTGTGTGCTGCCGTGATGTCTCCTTACGTCATATCCCCTCCACCCCTCCTCTCCCCTCTTTTCTGCCTCTCCCCCCTTTTCTGCCTCTCCCCCCACCCAGGTGTCTGTGAGATCAAGAACTGTGGTGCCAACAGCGTGTGTAATGCTGCTGGTAACGAGGCTACCTGTGTGTGTGACCAGGGCTTCGTGCTGCAGCAGGATGGCGTGACGTGCAACCCACCTTTGAAGACCGACTTGGATACCAACGTGGATCCTGCACCCGGTAGGTGATGCTAGCTTGTAGTGGAGCGGTGGGTGATGCTAGCTTGTAGTGGAGCGGTGGGTGATGCTAGCTTGTAGTGGAGCGGTGGGTGATGCTAGCTTGTAGTGGAGCGGTGGGTGATGCTAGCTTGTAGTGGAGCGGTGGGTGATGCTAGCTTGTAGTGGAGCGGTGGGTGATGCTAGCTTGTAGTGGAGCGGTGGGTGATGCTAGCTTGTAGTGGAGCGGTGGGTGATGCTAGCTTGTAGTGGAGCGGTGGGTGATGCTAGCTTGTAGTGGAGCGGTGGGTGATGCTAGCTTGTAGTGGAGCGGTGGGTGATGCTAGCTTGTAGTGGAGCGGTGGGTGATGCTAGCTTGTAGTGGAGCGGTGGGTGATGCTAGCTTGTAGTGGAGCGGTGGGTGATGCTAGCTTGTAGTGGAGCGGTGGGTGATGCTAGCTTGTAGTGGAGCAGTGGATGATGTTAGCTTCAGGTGCTAGCTTTAATTGCTGCTGTGCTGCCTGCAGCGCCAATGGCTTCACCACTGCCATGCGTTCCCAGCATCTTGTGTCAAGTATCTGTCGCCTTCAATCTTTAACCTCACTACCCCTTATTTCACGTCCCTTCCACCTCTAGCCCGTGTACCTGTGTGCCGTTGTGCTTTATCTAGCGTGTGACTCCTTCTGTTGCAGTGGTTTCTCATGCCTCCTTGTGCATCCCTCATCTCATCTAGTTCAAACCCCCCCCCCCCCCCCCCCCCCCCCCCCCTCTCCCTCCTGGCCCTCCTGCCTGAAGCTCGTTTCTTGTTCGATTGTATCTCGGTTTGGGTGTGTTACAGTGTCATTGTCCCGTTCAATTGTTAACATGATTCTTTCTACATCCACCCACCCCTGGTCTCAATATTCATGTCTTGCTCTGCCACGTTCTTTCACCCCAACCCCTTCCCAGGTGGGTGTGATCCGAATCCCTGTACCATGGGACTGTCCTACTGCCAGCCCTCGCCGCGCGGCGCAGTTTGCCTGTGCATGCCCGGCCTCCCGTCGTTTATTGCCGATGTCATCGGTTGTTTTGGTGGTGGTAAGTTCCGTGCGTTGAGGTTTGCTTCTTGAGGAATCAATGCCTGACTCTCTCCCCCTCTCCCTCTCTCTCTCTCCCCCTTGTTAGAATATATATCCTCTTGTAACCTGCATACATGTTATAGGCTAGAGATAAGCACCCAAACAGAGTTTGGGTGTACAAGCAGGGGTAACCCAGTTTGTAGGTTGGAACCCAACCTTGGTCCAATTATTGGACCCCAAAAGGTTGGGTTGGATAGAATTATTGGCTCCCTCCAATAATGTTGGCCCAACCCCAACTTGGCCAACATTATTGGACCCCACCAATACTCACCCAACCCAACTTATTGGTTGGGGTCCAATAATGGCTACCTAGACTAGTATCCAACCCCCAACTATGTATGCCCCTACCATTTTCAATCCAGTTATCAAGTTCTACTCTAACTTTCATTTCCCACATGGTATAGAGCTCACTATCCTAGGCCTCCTCTCGTTCCAAAGGCCCACCCGGCCGCCGCAACCCCCGGCCTTCATATTTTTTTTCCCCGGCTCCTCCGCCGTCTTCCCCCTTCCCCCCCTTAGCGCTCTCCTCTTTCCGCGGCCTCATCCCCGCCTCCGCGCCCGCCGTCGCCGCGGCCTCGCCAGCCGCCGCCACCCGCGCCGCTCCCCCCTCACGGCCTCGTCACCGCCTCCGCGCCCGCGTCGTCGCGGCCTCACCAGCCGCCGCCGCTCGCGCCGCTCCCCCCACGGCCTCGTCGCCGCCTCCGCGCCGCGTCGTCGCGGCCTCGCCAGCCGCCGCCACCCGCGCCGCTCCTCTCCGCGGCCTCGACGCCGCCTCCGCGCCTGCGTCGCCGCGGCCTCGCCAGCCGCCGCCCGCCCGCGCCGCTCCTCTCCACGGCCTCGTCGCCGCCTCCGCGCCCGCGTCGCCGCGGCCTCGCCAGCCGCCGCCGCCCGTGCCGCTCCCCTCCGCGGCCTCGACGCCGCCTCCGCGCCCGCGTCGTCGCGGCCTCGCCAGCCGCCGCCGCCCGCGCCGCTCCTCTCCGCGGCCTCGTCGCCGCCTCCGCGCCCGCGTCGCCGCGGCCTCGCCAGCCGCCGCCGCCCCCGCCGCTCCCCTCCGCGGCCTCGTCGCCGCCTCCGCGCCCGCGTCGCCGCGGCCTCGCCAGCCGCCGCCGCCCCCGCCGCTCCCCTCCACGGCCTCGTCGCCGCCTCCGCGCCCGCGTCGTCGCGGCCTCGCCAGCCGCCGCCGCCCGCACCGCTCCTCTCCGCGGCCTCGTCGCCGCCTCCGCGCCCGCGTCGTCGCGGCCTCGCCAGCCGCTGCCGCCCGCGCCGCTCCTCTCCGCGGCCTCGTCGCCGCCTTTGCGCCTGCGTCCGCCGCGGCCTCGCCAGCCGCTGTCGTGCCACCTCGCGCCGCTCCGCGACCTAGTCGCCACCTCCCCGCCGACCACCGCCGGCGCCATTCCTCCACCTCCCCACCGCTTCCGCACCCACGCAGCCCCACCAGCTGCCGCCACCTGCACGCTTCCGTGACCACTGCGGGACCACCCGCAGCCGTCCCTCATGGCCACCCCCATGCCCTCCCCCTCCCCCCTCCCTCCTCCTATCGATATTTCCTCCATTGATAAACTCCAGCTTGCAGCCGACAAATCTGCCATTAACTGGCACTCGTTCGTCGGCAGCATCCGCCGAGTCCTCAACGATGCATGGATCCCCCCCTACCGCGTCCTTGACGTCATCCTCCGCCGCCCCCATGCCCTCCCCCCCACCGAACCTGACCACCCCGGCGAGACCCCTCCTCTCCCTCCTCCTCCTGGCGACCCCCCCCTTGAGCCCGAGCTCCAGATCGCCGCCGACCAGGCCACTGCAGATGCTGATTTCATTATGCGTCGCCGTGCTTACCTGATCCGCAAAGCCGAATACTATGCAGCAGCTGATGCCTACGCGCAGGCGGTCGCTGGCCGCACTGCTCACCTCGCCGTCGTCGCCAAATACACCGACGATATTGCTACCTTCACCTCCAAGTTCATCGCCTGGTCAGCCGCTGACAACCGAGCATGCACTGTCATCCTCGGTGCACTCCCTGACTCCCTCATGCGCCGCTTTCAGGCCCGGGAACTCCGCGCCTCGGTGATATGGGCAGAACTCCATGCTATGTTCGAACGCCGCGACATCAGCTCGGTGGGAATCCTCTTCCAGGAATACTTTTCTATTACCCTCGCCACCTGTGATGGAGCAGTAGACTATGTCGGCCGCATGCGCGAGGTAGCCGATCGCCTCGAAGCCCGCCAAGCCGGCCTCTCCGAGCCCCTCCAAATCCATCGCCTCCTCTTCAACCTCACCCCTGACTATGAATCCCGCCTTCACGCCTTCACCGAAGCCAATCCCATGGCCGATCTTGCTTCCGTTGAACAGTGGATCATTGATACCGAAGTCAAGCTTCGCACCCCCATGGTCAACCTCACCTCCTCCCAACCTTCCTCCTCCTCTCTCAACGCTACTGAGCCCCGCAAGCAGGGCAAAAGCAACGGCAAAGGGGGAAGTGGGGGCAAGGGAGGCAGCGGCCAGGGAAGCAGCAGCGCAAGCAGCCGTGGTGGCTCCACTTGGGATGAGCACGGCAACCCCAGTCAGAGCGGTCCCTTTGGGAACCGCGGACCCCGCCCTGGAACTCTCCCTCCCTGCACCTATGTCCGTCGCTACGGTCCCCGGGCAGGGACACCCTGCGGTCAAACCACCCATCCCCCTACCACCTGCTTCAAGGCTCTCGATGATGCCTGGTACGCACGGGGCAATGTCGGCACACCTCCCCGCTGGGGTACCATCTCCCCGCGTCCCTCCCCTGCTGACATCCAAACCAACCCTGCCTACCTCCCCGCCCACCTCCGCCTCCTTGCTCCCCCCACGCCGTTCCTCAACCTGCAGCAGCAGCATCTTCTGCAGCAACAGCAGCAGCAGCAGCAACTGTTTCAGCAGCACCCGCCGCAGCAGCAGCAGCAGCAGCAGCAGCCGCAGCAGCAGCCCCCTTGGGGACCCGGGCTCCCACCCCAGTGGGGACCCAGCACTCCCCCCTGGCAGCAGCAGCAGCTGAACTTTGGCACGGCAGCCACAGCTGCTCAGACCTCCCCTGCTCCCCTGTGGGGTGCCCCACCTCCTCCTGGTAGCGGTGTCACTCCCCTCACCCAGGAAAGTTTTCTTGGCAACATTGCGCTTTCCCCTTCTCTTCCTTCTATGTACCCCTCCACCATTAATGAAACCACTTTCCAGTACTCGGTGTCTCCCTCCTCCTCCCCACCCACTCTGGACTTTGTCCTTGATAGTGGGGCCACTGAGACTGCTCTCAAGGATGCTGGTACACTCTCACCCCTCTCTCCTCCCACTCAGGTTCACGGTGCTGACAGCAGTTTTACCATCCCATGCACACATCTTTCCACCCTTCCATGCACAATCTTCCCCTCCGGTAAGGTAACTGGTCTCCACATCCCCTCCCTCCGAAACAACCTCCTCTCCCACCGAGAAATCCAAAATTCAGGTATCACTGCCGTCTATCCAGGTAATGCCACCTACTGTGACCTTTATCACACCGCCACCGACCGTTTCCGCCAGCAGCAGCAGCAGCAGCCGCCTCAGCAGGGGCAGCCGCAGGGGCCGCAGCAGCAGCAGCCGCCGCCGCAGGAGCAGCACCAGGGGCCGCGCCAGCAGCAGCAGCAGCAGCAGCAGCAACCGCCGCAGCAGGGGCAGCCGCAGCAGCAGCAGCAGCAGCAGCAGCAGTCACCTCCCTCTCTCCCACCTTCACTCACTCCAACCCCCTCCACCTCCGATCATCTCTCCCACCCCGCTGTTCTGCTACACCACCGCCTCGGCCACCCCAATTTCGCCGCTCTCCGCACTGCCATCACCTCCCGCCTCCTTCACAGCCTCCCTCCCACTCTCCCTCCCCTCCCTTCCTCTCCTGCGCCTCCATGCCCCTCCTGCATCCACGGCAAACTCAAACAGTCTCCCCACCACAGCCACCCGTCCTTTGCTCCCGCTCCAATTGACCTGGTCCACATGGACCTCTGGGGACCCTCCCCCACTCGCTCCCGTCAGGGCCATCGCTACATGCTGGTCCTCGTAGATGACCACAGCCGCTACTCCTCCATCTTTCTCCTTCACACGAAAGACCAGGCACCAACTGTGATCACCCACTGGGCAGAACAATGCCGCGCCCACTTCAACCGTCCCATCGGCCGCCTCCACTCTGACGGTGGCGGCGAATTCCTCAACCGCACCCTCTCCCACTACTGCGCCACCCATGGCATCCAACAGACCCACACTCTTCCCCACTCCCCACAGCAGAATGGTGTCGCCGAAAGCCGCATCCGCGAAATCACCAAAATCGCTCGCTGCCTCCTCGCTCACGCCTCCACTCCTCCTTCCCTCTGGGGCTATGCTCTGCTCCATGCTGCCCTCCTCCTCAACCTCCACTCCCATCCTCAACACACTGCCATCACCCCCACGGAACTCTGGTCAGGCACAAAACCTGACGCTGCCGGTCTCCGTGTCTGGGGGTGCAAGGCATATGTTCTTATCCCTCCTTCCGACCGCACCCAAGGCAAGCTCGCTTCTCGGGCCCTCGAGTGTGTCTATCTCGGACACAACCGCGACTCGCCTGGCTACCTCTTCCTCCACCCTCCCTCCGGTCGCCTCATCCGTAGCATTGACGTCGTCTTTGACGAATCCACCCCGTACTACTCCTCTCCACCACCAGACCCCCTCCCTTCCCCTACCCGTCCCCTCGCCTGGACCGACACTGTCCTCCCTCCCCTCCTCCCTCCCGCACCTCTCCTACCACCTCTCCCGGTTCCACCTCCACCAACCTCCTCTGCTGACATCTACGATCCTACTGCACCTGCATCCCCTGCCCACTCCGCCGCCCCCCCCCTCCCCTTCCCCTCCTCCCCTCCCTCCCCTTCTTCCCAGCAGCAGCAACAGCAGCAGCACCAGCGGCAGCAGCAGCAGCAGCAAGGACAGCAGCCGCCGCGGCCGCAGAGGCAGCAGCAGCAGCAGCAGCAGGGGCAGCAGCAGGGACAGCAGCAGGGGCAGCAGCAGGGACAGCAGCAGGGGCAGCAGCCGGGGCACCAGCAGGGGCAGCAGCAGGGACACCAGCGGCAGGAGGAGCAGCAGCCGCAGCAGCAGCAGGGGCTTCAACAGCACCAGCAGCAGCAACGGCAGAGGGCGACTGCCCGCTCCTCACCCTTCCTCCTCCCTCGCATGCACACCCGCTCCCTTGATCCCATCCTTGGCACACCGCCTCCTCCCTCACTCAACCTGCTAGAGGACCTCCATGAGGAACTCACTATGGTCCAGCGCCACACTCCCTCTCTCACCCCCCTCTACCCTGGCTTCCTTGGCGCACTTATCCTTGCCGCGGTCTCCGCTCCCACCATCTTCGTCCCCTCCACCTTCCAGGAAGCTATCACCTGCCCAGATGCCGACAAATGGATAGCTGCCATCTTCCTGGAATGTGAGGCCTTCATCCGCAACGACTCTTTCATCGACGTCCCCCTCCCTCCTGACGCTAACCTTGTCGAGGGCAAGTGGATCTTCCGAGTAAAGCAGCTGCCGGGAGAGGAACCAGTCTACAAGGCCCGCTATGTCGCCAAGGGCTTTACACAGACTTGGGCTGAGGACTACTGGTTCACATTCGCCCCTACCGTTAAGCCACCCACCCTTCGCGCTCTTCTTGACATTGGTGGGCGCGACGACATGGAGATTGACTCCATGGACGTCTCCAACGCATTCTTGCAAGGCGAGCTGCACGAGCGTATTTTTCTACGACGGCCTCCCGGGTTTCACGCTGCTTTCCCCGACAATACCGTCTGGCAACTACGACGCCCAGTCTACGGTCTGAAGCAGGCACCACGAGAATGGCATGCGAAGCTGTCTGCCACTCTCCAGTCCCTCGGTTTCTCTGCCTCCCACTCCGATGCCAGCCTCTTCATCCGCTCCTCCCCTCGTCGCTTCTTCATCTCGGTCTACGTTGACGACATGATCCTGCTTGCTGATTCCAGGACCGACATGGACCAGATGAAGCGGTCCCTTCAGGACCGTCTCAAGTGCAAGGACCTTGGTCCGCTGCAGAACTACCTCGGCATGACCATCACCCGCAACCGATCCGCCCGCACCATCACCCTCTCCCAGTCCCACTACATCGGCCAGGTGCTGGAGAAGTTCGAGATGGCGCAGGCCAAACCAATCTCTACCCCCCTCCCCTTCGGTCACCAACTAGCGCCTCCCACCTCCCCCTCCGCCTCCACCCGCCCCTATGCCGAGCTCGTTGGGTCGCTGATGTACGCGATGATGTGCACTCGCCCCGACCTTGCCTACCCCATCAGCGTCCTCGCTCGGTTCGTCGGCTCCGGCTGTCACACTGAGGAACACTGGACTGCCGCCAAGCGGGTTCTCCGCTACCTTCGAGGCACCAAGGATCACGCCCTCACATTGGGTGGTTCCTCCCCTCCCCTTCTCACTGGCTTCAGCGACTCCTCCTGGGCAGACTCCCAGCCGGACCGCCGCTCCTCGCAAGGCTATGGCTTCACGCTTGGCAGCGGGCTCATCAGCTGGCGTTCTACTCGCTCATCTGCCGTTGCCCTCTCTTCCTGCGAAGCCGAACTCTATGCTGGCACCATGGCTGCACAAGAGTCCCGTTGGCTCTGCTTTCTTCTCGCCGAGCTTGGTGCCCCTCAGCGCTGTCCCACACTCTGGTGTGACAATGCCAGCACCATCCATCTCACCCAGGACCCCGTCTTTCACGGCCGCTCCGAGCACATCGAGCTCCGCTACTTCTTCATCCGTGACCTCGTTCAGCAAGGCCTCGTTGCCGTTCGCAAGATCGCTGCTGAGGCCAACTTGGCTGATATCTTTACCAAAGCCCTTCTCCGCCCTGCGCACTCTGCTCTTCTCCGCCTCATCGGCCTCGCCCCTCCCGGCGCGCCTTGATTCAGGGGTTGCTACCCTCAAGCCTTTCCACATCTATGCAGGTTAAGGGGTTGTGTTAGAATATATCTCCTCTTGTAACCTGCATACATGTTATAGGCTAGAGATAAGCACCCAAACAGAGTTTGGGTGTACAAGCAGGGGTAACCCAGTTTGTAGGTTGGAACCCAACCTTGGTCCAATTATTGGACCCCAAAAGGTTGGGTTGGATAGAATTATTGGCTCCCTCCAATAATGTTGGCCCAACCCCAACTTGGCCAACATTATTGGACCCCACCAATACTCACCCAACCCAACTTATTGGTTGGGGTCCAATAATGGCTACCTAGACTAGTATCCAACCCCCAACTATGTATACCCCTACCATTTTCAATCCAGTTATCAAGTTCTACTCTAACTTTCATTTCCCACACCCCTCTCCCTCTCTCTCTCTCTCTCTCCCCCTCTCTCTCCCCCTCTCCCCCTCTCCTTCTCCCTCTCCCTCTCTCTCTCCCTCTCCCCCTCCCCCCCTCAGCGCCCCACCTGAGCCTGGTGGATGATGCTACCTCCAAGTGTTGCTGTGCTGCCTGCCTCCAGTGCCGTGGCCTCACTACTGTTTCCTTTTTAATGTCTTGTTGTTCCCATCTTGTTCAAAGTATCTTGTCATCCTCAATCTTCAATCGCACCACCACTCATCTTCACGTCTCCTCCACCCCTCTCCCCTCTGTGCCACCTCTACCCGCACCCAGCCCCATGCCCTCTGAGCTGTGCCAACGGCCACTGTGACTACACCAGTAACGGGATGCCGACGTGTGTTTGTGACCCGGGTTTCGTGCTGCAGCCGGATGGCACGACGTGCCTCCAAGCTGTTGGTGGGTGATGCTAGCTTCAAGTGCACTGCAGCTATGCTGCCTCTAGATGTGTGCTCTTGTGCTGTTGTGATGCCTCCAGCATGTGACAGTGGCTCCTTCTGTTGCGAGTTTTTCTCACGCCTCCTTGTGCATTCCTCTGAATCCCTTGTTTCTTGTTCAATCTCCCCCCTGCCCCTCCTACCTGAACCTCAGTTCTTGTTCAATTGTATCTCAGTTTGGTGTGTCACAGTGCCATTGTCCTACTCTGCTCATACACGACATGTTTCTTTCTACATCCGCTCACCCCTGGTCCCACCATTCGTGTCTTGGTCTGCCATGTCTTTCACCCCGACCTTCCCAGATGCATGTGAGGGGAACTGTGTCCCGGGAAAGTCGCACTGCGTCACCATGCCAGAGGGTTCAGTTTGTGTTTGTGATCCTGGAAACACTATCAATTGTCTTCCTGGTAAGTTCCACGCGTTTCAGGTTTGCCTGTTGAGGAATTAAAGCAAATTGACCTTCCGAACTGCCATCCCTCACTCTCACTCTTACCCTCTCTCACTCACTCTCCCTCTCTCCCCCTCTCTCTCTCTCCCCGTCCCTAAACCCTAAACAGAGGAGCTCTTGTAATTGCCGTGAGGCACATCCACTCCTGTGGTGACACTTCACCCACGACGGCACATCCTCATCAGCCCACCTTCATCAGCCACTCCACCCTCATCAGCCACTCCACCCTCATCGGCCACTCCACCCTCATCAGCCAGTCCCGTCGTCCCTACAGCCACTCCCATCATCCCATTACCTACTCTCGCAGCAGTAATTTCTTGCTAAACAGGGTACAGCGGGCCAAGAGGCTGAGAGCATGAATTGTGTGCATCAAGACCAGCAGCCGTGCTTGAGTGCCTCTGGAAAGGAGGGGAGCATGGGGAAGGTACCAGGGGTGCAAGATTTCCATGGACATGACATGGGTACAAGGCATCAGATGCACATGGCTTGTTTTCTTGTTTTCTCATCGTTGTTTGTCGATTGCGGTGTTAGTTGCCGAAGTAATTTTGCTTTTGTTTGTTTTTTGTGAAGTGAGTTTCAGTCATAGTACATCTCAATAGCTTTGATTTTTTCTGAAATTCTGAATCACCGCCAAAAACAAATTCGGTAGCAGCATTGCAGTTGGTAAGATACCGTAATCTCCCAACAATAAGACCTGGGAGTCCCTTACAAAACATACCGTAAACCCCCGTATATAAGACCCTAGGGTATTATGATAATCTGGCCTTAAAAAGTTGGGGGGTATAATTAAATGGTACATATTTTATAAGACCCGGGTCTTTTCAAATTGACTTCTATAAGTCTACTGTTTTGGAGCTCAAAGAAGTGAATTGGAATTGCTCCGTTTTTAGCACCTCCCAAATATACTCGAACTGGTCTCTTCCTGGGCCAAACCCACATCATCACGTACCCTATCTAAAAGCCTCCTCCCATTGGGCACAAACATCACTTGGTGTTGACATAAGCGAGAAGGGCACCGTTTGATGGGCCCGGCGCGCAGTGTCGCCTCGACCTGCACACCCCATGCACGCTTCGTGCGATCCTATAGGGCGGGAGCTTCAGACTCCCGTACTGTCGTCTGGCACGTCCTTGTTTTTGAGGGCTGACTTCACTTCCTCCTCCAGTTTCTTCCCCCCTTACTGTGCTCGGCTGGCTGCCATCTAAAAGATGGTTGCCTGTTCCTTTTTCACCTCGAAGCTAGCAGCCACTTCATCCCCACTTTAGCCGCCATGGTGACATCACCAGATGCTGGGACGTCCGATGCTCGACGCGGGCGCCGCAAGAAAGTCCAGAAGCCTCCTGTTCTTAGGCCTTCGCCCAGGCCCGTCATGCCAACGCCAAGTTCCTCTAGCAGCGATGAGACAGATAAGGAGCCCAGCGGGAGCCCACGCCGTCCGCTTCCGCAGGTGAAGGTTCCCGTATTTCTGGAATCAAGCCGACCGCGGGGACAGAAGAAGCGGGTGCGTGACGCAGAGACGCCGGAGACAAGGCGCCGACGAACGGAGAAGAAGCGGAAAGCTTACACCGTCAAGGAGAAGCTTTACTGGCTCAAGATGCTTTACTGGCTCAAGGAGGAGGAGGAGGAGGAGGAGGAGGAGGAGGAGGAGGAGGAGGAGGAGGAGGAGGAGGAGGAGGAGGAGGAGGACACGGACGAGGAGGAGGGGGACGAGGAGGACGAGGAGGGTGAGGAGGGTGAGGAGGAAGGCGGTGCAGAGGTGGAGGGTGGAGCGGGTGAGGAGGAGGATGATGGAGATGAGTGGTGGGCAGAAGGGCGATATGAGGGGGAGGAGGTGGAGATCTGGGTTGCTGGAGAGGATTAGGCTGATAATTGGCCTGTGCATGCGCGTTCATGTGTGTGATGTCTGTACCTTAACATGGAATAGGACCATTTTCCATTGCATTCGCTGAAAATACACACTTCTCTAGGATGTGGGGTGTCTTATAATGTCAGGAGACATTTAGGGGGGTATAACTCGGATAGACTCGAATAGAGTACCCCCCTCCGTATTATAGACCCGGGGGTCTACAACTGGAGGGGGTCCTATATACGGGGGTTTACGGGTGTACAAAAACCTAACCAAGTGTAACCGTGACAGCAAAAAAACATTTTGTAAGGAATTTTCTCGAGTTCCTTATCGGGGTTGACTGCTTCGAGTACAGCCCGATTTTCGAACTTTGCACGTTCGGCCGATTTCAACGCTGCCGAGGCTCCTCGTGTCGCCTTCGGCATTTTCCCAAATCGCCAAACCTGCACCCAACCTCGCTCGTCCGAGGTTCCCTCCTTGATAGGCTAGTTCCTACATTAGTCTGTGCCTTCATTGTATTCTCAGGTCATTCAATCATAGTCTCGTTATTCGTTTACTTGCACACTCTCTTTTACAACTCATAACACATGGTATCAGAGCTACTTTCCTAGTTTACCCCGCTTTTCCGAGGGTAGTTTGGTGGTGATACAATCTGAACCGTCTTATAGGATCGTCTCAGGTTGATCGCACGGAGTGTAGTAGCGGAAGATTGCTAGGTAATGTCGAGTACGGACTCTGTCGGTAGAAGGAGAATTGAATCTCGACAGAAGTGACTATAATAATGTGGTACAGGGGTTTATATAGGAATACAGTGGAATACGAAAGGTCCTAGCTAGCCATGTACTCTGAGGGGGTACATTCCCCTTAGGGCTTATCTAGGTGCAGCATCGCAACCGTGCGGTCCGGTAACCGTATGCGGTCCGGCAACCGTTTGAACTTTTCCCGCGCTTTGCACTTCAAATTCTTCCTGCTTGTAACTGTCTCGATAACTGTTTCGTCGCTTGGTCTTTCGTCCTCGCTGCAGTCATCTTCGCGTTAAGGATTTGTTACTCAGGAATGTTTAGTCAACTATTCCATATCGTAACACTCCCCTTCATTCCTGGAGGAGCGAAGTCTTGACGCGCTTGGTTATACCGCAGATGTTTCCGCAGTGATGATACTGCTGACGTGGCAGCTTCTTGGTGAGGAAGTCGGCTGCCATGTCACCAGTGGGGCAGTAAGTCAAGATGACTTTGCCTTTGTCAACTTCGTCTTTGACGAAGAAGTAGCGGAGCGCGATGTGTTTGGTGCGGTTGACGAAGCCAGGCTTGTTTGCGATTTTTATCGCACTTTGGTTGTCGCAGTGAAGTTTGAAGCTTGCGGATGTCGCCATTTTCGCCTCTTGAAGCAGCTCCTGAAGGTAGAGGCCTTCGCGAAGAGCTGACGTGGCAGCGATGAACTCAGCTTCAGCAAAAGAGAGCGCCACCATTTCTTGCTTCTCGGAATTCCAGGAAATTGGTCCGGTGGGCTCGAGACGGAAGAGGAAGCCGGTTCGAGACCGTCGATTTGCAGGGTCGGCGGCATGATCTGCGTCTACGTAGCCGACGAGGCTGAAGGAGCGGGTTGTGAGGGTTGAGTAGGTGAGGCCAATGTGCGGTGTGGAGATGAAGTATTGCAGAGCGCGCTGTAAATCCAGCATGTGCTCCCCTTCAGGCCGCTTGGCATACTGAGCGAGTTGGCTCGAGATGTAGGATAAGTCAGGTCTGCACGTGACTGCCGCGAAGAGAAGACAGCCGAGCTGCTGCTGGTATAGCTGATGACCAGATGGGTTGAGAGGTGTGGTGTTGGGAAGATGCGAGATGGCCGGGCTGCGGTAAGGAGTGGAGAGGTTGGCGGGTGTGATGTTGAACTTGGTTGCAAGTGTCTCAGCATACTTGGAGGCGGATAGGTGAATGGCGTCAGCGGAGTAGGAGATGTTGAGGCCCAGGAACTGGGTAACTTGGTCGGTGCTGGTAATTTCGACGCGATTGCTGAGGTTTTTTTCAAACTGAGCGAGGAGGTCGTTGCTGGTGCCGGTGTAGAGGAGATCATCGACGTACGCCGTGAGGAGGATGTAGTCGCCGTTGTAGTGGAGGCGGTACATGCCGGGGTCGTGTGGCAGCTGAATGAAGCCGATGTCAAGCAAGATCTGGTGGAGGTACTGCTGCCAGAGTCGGGGTGCCTGCTTGATGCCGTAGAGTGATTTCCGGAGCTGACACACACGATCGTCGCCGTCGCCGTAGGTGTGAGGCTGTTCGACGCATCCACGGGGGCGTAGAGAAAAACGTTTTTGATGTCGATTTGGCGGAGGGGAAGTGTGACGGCTGACGGGGGCAAAGGTTTGATCAAAGTAAACGTCGTGTCATTGGTCAAATCCACGAACAACCCAACGGGCCTTGAAACGCTCGATGGTGCCGTCAACAGTTGTTTTGACACGGAACACCCATTTTCCTGAGAGGACGCGTTTCCCCTTCAAGGCAGCTCGATCAGCGAGGACCCAGGTGTCACGAGCTTCAAGCGCGGCCACTTCAGCATCCATCGCAGCGCGCCATTCTTTCGCGTATGGGCCGGTGAGAGCTTTACGTGGGGTTTTGGGTTCAACCGCCTTGGGTGGGCGGGACACAGCAGTGTGGAGGCCGAGGACATGGAGGCCGGAGAGGCCGGGGTTGTGGCGCTGATTGCTGTTGACCTCCGCCACATCATCATCGGAGTCGTTGCCGCTGGTGGGTGTGGGATTGAGGAGGGAGTCGCGAGAAGAGTCAAGAGGGGCTCCGTTTTCGTCCTCGTCCTCATCACTCCAGGGGCGAGGACCAGGGTGGGGGTCAGTAGGATCCTGGTCCGCGAGGGCTGCGGCGGCTTCGTCTTCAGGTGTTGCGAAGCTGCGTGGCGGGCGCTCGTAATCCTCGATGTTATGCTCGCCGCGGACACGATCGGCGTGGCGGTCGCACTGGAACTTTCGGATGGAGATGTCCTCGTAGAAGATGACGTCGCGTGCTGCGACGATCTGGGATGTGTCATAGTCGAGGATTGTCCAGGCGTGGTGCTCAAAGCTGATGCCGAGGTAGACTCCCAAGCGGGCGCGACGTTCGAATTTCCCCGTGGTCGCCGCGGCAGGTCGATACTGTACCATGCATCCCCAGACGCGGAACATGGAGATGTCGCCTTGCTTGTTGGTGAACTTGAGGTGAGGGGAGAGGTTGTCGGTGTTGGCGGTTGTGCTGAGCAGGTTGTGCAGACAGACAGCGTGATGCATGGCATAGGGCCAGTACTTTGCGTCGACGTCGCTCTGCCGCAGAAGGGAGCGAACCTTGGTCATAAAGGTGCGGTTGGTGCGCTCCGCGACGCCTTGCTGGGGATGCGCGTAAGGAAGGGAGAGCTTGTGCATAATGCCCTTCTCCTGGATGTAAGCCGCAAACTTGTCAGTCTTGAATTCAGCTGCGCAATCCGTTTGCCAAAGCTTGAGGGTGCAGCCGGACTGAGTCTCCGCGTTGGCGTGCCAGACCTTGAAGATATCAAATGCCTTACTCCTGTGAGAGATGTTGGCGACCCAGACGAAGCGGGAGTGAGCGACGACGAAGGTAAGAGTGTATTCTTCGCCGTTGAGTCCTGTTTTGGTGAGCACAAGGAAGTCGCTGTAGACCTTTTCGAGCTTTTCGAAGCGGTTGGTCCCAGGCTCAAGGAGCTTGAAGGGCTGATGTGTGAGGGCAGCTTCGGGACAGATGTTGCAGTCAGCACGGCGAGTGGTGTCGACTGGGACTGGGGTGCCGTCTGGGCACAGAAGAGTTCCAGGAAGAAACACCTGCGCGCGCCTGCAATTGTTGAGGACTTCCTGTGAGGGGTGACCGAGGCGCCGGTGCCAGAGATCAGGTTGAGCGCGCAAAGCAGGAGAATGGATGTAAAAAGCGATGAATTCAGCAACGTCGCGTTCGGTGGGCTCTGGGATGGGCTGTGGTGAAATGGAGAGTCCAAGAGCCAGGATTAAGTCTCGAGCTGTTGGGGTTGGGGCGACTGTAGCGAGGGCTGTGAGTGGTGTTGGAACATCGTCTGTGCCTGCTGTTCCTTCAGGCAGGTGAGGATGTGGCAGATGATGCGGTGGTAAGGTAAATGTTGCTGGGGGGCTAGGAGCAGGTGAGTCTGAAGTGCTGATGGGGGTGCTTTCGGTGTGGAGAGGGCTGTGAAGATAGGTGCGGCAAGGCAAGACGTGGTCGCGGTCAATTGGAGGCCGTGAGTCCGTGGAGTCTGGGGAGGTGTGTTGAGGGACGGGGATAGACCCCCAGGAATCAGTGTGTGGTGTGGTGCCCAGAGGTATTTCGAGGGAACGTGGGGAGCCGCATGGTCCTTGTGCTTCTGCTGCTGCTTCTGCTTCAGCGCGAGCGATTACGGCTTTGATGGGTTCTTCCTCCTCCATTGTTGAGGGGGGGGAGTCCCCCCATCCTGTTGCGCTTGTTCCGCCTCCCCATCCGCCAGTTGTTGTAGTTCCGCTTCCCCATCCGCCAGCACTTGCAGCTGCTGCCGCTTTTGCCGACACCGTTCTTCTTCTTCATGATGCTGAAATTCCTCAGTGGTCATGGTGCGATGGGACCAAGGGTCCTGAACGTGGTAAGTTTCCCAGGTCAGTGGGAGAGGATTGTTGTCCCCATCGTGTGCGCCAGGTCCCGTGTAACGAGTGAGAAGGTCAAGGCGTTCATGAACTGTGGGGTTGTTGTGAGAATGAACGAGAAATGGATGACTAAGGAATGAGTGTGATACAAATATGAAACCCTAGAATTGTGTACCCCTTAGTATCTAACCCGCTACAGCCTACACAGACTAGACCATATAAGTCCGACACACCCCCATAGGCAAAGTGGGGGAGAACAAGGGGTCACAAGACCAGTCAAGCAGAGCAAAGCAAAGCTAGCTCAGGGTGGATCACAATGTCACCACCCATTCCGAGCACAAGTTCAAGGCCACAAGGCCAGTTCACATGCACGATCATATATAAAGGTAAACAAGCA